AATTGATTTAGATATAACTCTAATAATTGATATTTTCCTCTTATATCATCACGTTCTTTATTTGAAGTGATGATCATAGATTGTAATTGACGAACTCCATTATGTAAACTTTCATTTTGATTTTTTAAAGATTCACATTCTTCAAGGAATTGACCAGATTGATTAATCTGATCTTGTAAAACTTTAATTTTAGTTTCCAATTCATGATTTCTATACTTTAAATCATCCCGTTCCCAAAGGATTGATTTTAACTGATCTGATTGATGACGATTATGAAATTCAAGGTCACGTATTTTTTTGCCTAATTTACCATCTAATGTAATAGGATTTGTGAAGGTAAACGAGGTAGTTGAAGGTTGAGATGACAAATTAGTGGACATGGTGGTAGTACCTCCGGTACTATAAGATGATGCACCACCAGAAGAGGTAACAGGATGATAAGGTTCTATATCTATTACAAAGTCATCACAACGTTGATGAACGTTATCATAATTTCCACGTTGCATGAAGACAGCGGTACTATAGTTACTAGTGGTTATGGAAGGGGCAGGAGGTCTTGGAGGAGTATAAGTATCACGGTTTAGATGTAAAGTATTATTTTTATTATTAATGATAATATTAGGATTATTTTTAGGCGGATGGCCTATAAAAGAAATGGTTGTATCGATAATACCAGTTTTCAAATCAATATCCCTTCTATTGCTATTACTACTCATGGTTTATTTAATTTTTTAAAGTCCACTTCATGCGGAATATGAAAACACCCCGAGATAATAAAATTTTTTTAAATATGTTTAATTATATGTGAAAAGTGTAAATATATCTATGCACACAAATCTATAAATTTTGAGATGGACGGATAGATGAAAAATTCAAAAGATAGCAATAGGCAAAAGAAAGGAGAGACCGAATTTATAGAACATCTAAAACCAAAAAGAGAGACATAAAAGTCCCGGTAAAAAACTCGTTTTCCTTTGCAGGTTTTTTTTCTTTTATAATAAATTAATAGTAGTAATGATAATAGTACAGAATTCAATTTTGGTAAAGACCGGAATAACGGGTAACTTTTGAGAACAAAATATATATACTAAGTAACATCATTTTTATCATTATATGTTGTTCTATTTACTCATCAGGTTGCATATATTATTTATAACCACCAAATAAAAATTCGGTGAACCAATGAGATGATTTTCAACACACATGGATTTTTTCAATTATCAAACATAGATGATGATCTTCTTCATCTATGTTGACAACTTGTATAATAATAATGGTAATGAATTTCCGGATGTGACATAAACTGAATAAAGGTTGTTTAATTTCATCAATATATATATTAAAATATTTTCAACTTAAAAAAACGAATGTACATAATTTTCACACCAGTACATTCAAAAAGAATAATTCAAAAGGAGCTGTTTCAAAAAACGTCGTACGACGTATCACGGATATAATCTGTCTTACATATACGTAACAAATATTATTATGTATTATGTCATTTGTAAAAACAATGATTAATGAACAAACATAATAGGCTTTATAAAGCAAATAACGGTTAATAAATATATTTCGAAAAAATTTCCTGACTTGATTTTAAGGATTAAGGCATGTGACTTTTCAAAATTTAAAATTTAAAGTTTTCTAAAGGGAAAATTCTATTTTAACTCTGATTAAAATCAAAAACTAATACGTTAATCATGTGACCGCTTGTCAGAGTCAAATAGAATTTTTAAAGTTTTGATTTTCCTAAGTTCACTCATTTTACGTAGTCTCTAAGTATCATGCATTGTATCAGTATTATACCAAATTTTGTAAAATGCATGTTTTTGTAAAAAATGTAACATTGATACGAATGAGAAGATCATCTTAACAATGAACTGTCAAATAATTCTCTTCACTCTAAAGATTTCTTGAAGAATCAGTCTCTTTACCAATTTTAGTTTATTCAATACAGATTATCATCACATTTCATTTGATTTGAGTCGGAATCCTTTTGTAAATGTTGAAATGGTTCAAATAACCTAAAAGATATATTGATCTTGAGGTAGCTCATCTAATGGGTCGTATCGATATCAAATATTGCAAATAATGTATTATGATTGGAAAATCTATCGGCTATCATTAGTAGGTTCTGCCTAACCGTGAGTAATATAAAACTTTACTAGTGTCTGCTATATTCAGCAGCTCATTATTTGAATAGATATTGTACTCAACTATAGTACTTTTAGCACCAATACTAATCCAAAATTGGATTGATAATAAGATACCATTTATAGTGCTTTCCTGTCAACGTTCTTCTCAGGTGGTAATGAGTGGGATTTTCTTGTTAGCGTTAGATCATACAGAGTGGTACGGTATTTCTTTTGTTGCCAAAATTATTTAATCCTGATAAGACATAACGATAAATTAGGATTACTATTTTGTTTTAACTCACTTTCCTATAATGTTTCAATTATTGGATTTTTTTGCGGTTAGATCAAGCAACCGCTCACATTTTCGATTCAATTACACATTTAAAATAGGTTGGTTTAGATACAGTATTAGTAAATATGTTTATGTATATAAATTCATCGTTATTTTAGTATTAATTGATTTAATTGATCATATAGAGCATGTTTTGTAAGTTTATTTTCAAGGCAACAATCCTATATTTTGTTTGGAACCATTAAAAATTTTTTCATTTCACGGAGATGATTGACAGTACTATTGTTTTAAATCATGAATCACGCTTTTTTCATTATAATATACAGTAGTTATTGAATGCAAAGCAGCCAATAACGGAAAATAATTGCATACGAAGTATGCCGTATTTTATGGACGATGATGATTGGTTGGTAACCCAGCCAGTACGGCTGGGTTACCGAACGATCAGAAGAGAGCATAAAATAAAATTATTGACTTATTTTATAAACTGATTATAGTAAAGCATTAAATAATTGTTATTCTTTATTCAATAATGCAATCAGTAAATATCATCAACTATGAACGTGAACATAACGGACACCTTCACACCTGTTTCATATGTCTACGTAAAAAGATTTAATAACGATCATAAAATAGCCATATTAAGTAGAAATTTACTTTCTAAAGTTGATTATACGTACCAATTTGGGTATTGCCCGTTAAAGTAGTGGATAGATATAAATCGTTTTATCACAACATTGTACTATTATTTATTTTTATTCTATGGATCAGATAGGTAATTACTAAGTTGTTTAGCTCAAAGTTCGAAAAAATATATAATATTGTTACTAGGAATCATTTCCGGTAATATATAATTTTATCACATTGAAGTCACAAATAATATTTTCTTTTAGAATGACACGTTATCATTACTGCCAGGTTAATAATATATTAATCTATATAACAGACAAGAAACATCTAAATTAATTGGTAAATCGTTTTTAAAGGGAACAAAAAATGATAATCCTTATAATAAACAAAATCGGAAATTTATATGTTTTTTCTATAGTGCAGGAATGGGGCTTGCTTACATATAAAAGTATTTTTTTTATTAAGTAATTCTTTCTTGTTGCTTAATTGAAAGTTGTAGAGCTAAATCTTGTGATTCTAATGGTAGTAAAATCATTAAAATCGGTTAGATAGATCATAAGATATGAGTATTTTTCAATCGTTTGCTATAGAGTTTTTTCTTAAGAATTGAAGCACATGGCATTCCACTTACTATATAAGGTAACTAGTCACATGCCCGCCGATTTTTACTATAAAATTTGTACCCTTTAACTACTAATTAAATATAAATCAAATAAGGTAACTTTAATTTATAATAAAAAAAACTACATTTCTTTAATTTACTCAAGAAAATAAAATAAAAAATAATTTTAAATATGGAATTTATATTTTTTAGCATTTTTTGAACTTTTACAAAATTACAAATTTAAATATCAAGTAGTTAGAGAAAAAACTTGAGTTAAAGTTGTTTAATTTTTTTTTAATTCTTTATTATATTCTTTAAATCAAATAACTAACTTATTTTAAGTAATTATATAATTGGTTAAAATAACCTTTTAAAGATTAAAAAAGGTTTCAATATAGAGAATATTTAAATTTGATTATTTTTAAAATTAATATTATATACAAGTACAGTATATATTATATTTTTTTTAAAATAAGCTATCTTTTTTTGAATAATTTTGAGTTTAAAAATTAAAATAACTTATTTTTAAGTATAATAAGTTTTTAAAAGTTTTTAAATAAGGGGGCTTTCAGAAATTATGTAATTTATGAGTACTAATAAAATTCTTGAACCCACCTCACCCACCCACACCTGATATCTAACTAGCCAATCAAATTGCATCAAAATTTATATATATAATTTATATAAAATAGCTAAACTTAAATAACTTTTGATCTACTAAACCAAATTAGATGATTTAACTACCAAAATAATTTTCTTAAAGAGAGCTTTCTAACAAGTCTAAAATCATCAAAATCTAATTAATAAGTCTGAAGATAGAAATAGATTTATATTTTATTATATAATAAGTTATAATATAATATATAACTAATAGATTATAATTTTAAACACTAAGTAAACTTATTTAAAATACTGTATAATTATACTAAAATAATGTATTTTGAGTGCTGAACAAGTTTACTTAAAACCCAAAGTTATAATTCATTAATAAAATTTTGCATAATACAGAATTTTGTAAATTTTTATTAATAAAAAATTAGAAAATTCTGTATAATACAAAATTTTATTAATGAATTATAACTTTATAAACTTAAAAATATATTATTTCAATATATATTTATATATTAAAAAGTTTACTTAGAGCTTAAAATTATAATTTATTAATTATATATTGAAGTATAATTCTATTTCAATCTTAAGATCCAGTAATTAGCAAAATATAAGACAAAAATTTTGACAACTCTTTCTGATGATTCCTCATACCAAAATTTTTTAAAAAAAATTTTGAACTCAAAATACAGTAAAAAAGACATAGAAAGTACCTGGAGTTAGAATGAAGCTATAAGTTAGCATCTGTTGTTTAGATATAGTTCTTTTGTACTATCTGCTAATAGATTTAAAGTTTATTACTTATTGCTAGAATAGCACCTGTTATTTAGAAGTAGTTCCTATATGCTACTTGCCAACAGGTCCAGAGTTTATCACTTACCAAAAAGAAAAGTTTGTTTGGGAAAAACAGTTTATAACAAGTAACTGTTATTTGTTTAGTTACTTGTTACTCTAGAAAATTTTTCTTTTTACTTGTTCACTTGTCTTGGCAACAAAATTTTCAAAGAAAAGTAGGCAAAACAGCTTACCCCTATCTAAAGATCAACATTGTTTATTAGTTTTCTTTTTTGGTCAACATAGTAGATAGCAATCACATGTTTGGCCTAATTCAGATATAGCATTACTAGTTTGATCTGGAGCTAACAATTAAGATACTTCCAATGGTAGCAGCAAGTAGCTTAAAATATAAGTTTTCAGATAGTGGCAGTACTTGGCTTGAGATACGGATTAGAAAGC